ATAAAAAAAATAAATAAAATTAAACACTCTATGTGAGACTAATACTCCCTCCTATTAAAAGTGTCATTTTCTATTTTCGTCCGTTCCAAAACAAAGTTACTATTTCTTAATTTAGTAATTGTATTACCTACCAACATAATAAATATCATTTCAACTTACATTATATTACACAAATGTCATTACTTTTATATTACACAATATTAATAAGGATATTTTTATCCTTTTCACTACAACTTATTATAATAGTAATATTAAAAAATCTACTTGTAAAAAGTAAACTGCAACCATGCACCGGGACGGAGGGAGTAGAATAATATTTTATACTTTTAATATACTTCATCCGTCCCAATATAATAGTTTTGTTTACCATTTTTATCGGTTTAAAATTAATAGTCTTATTTTCATAAATAACCATAGCACTATAAAATTATCTCTATTTTTTTATTTTTATTATATAATTATCATTATTTTTTATACTAATATATTCATAAAGGTAAAAAAATTATTTATTCTTATTTTTTATCGACTACTAATATAATATAAATATTTTTTAAAATTCCGTGCTCAACGACAACCAGCGGAGGGAGTATTTAAATTTTATACTCCTTCTGTCCCATGATAAAGTATCAATTTTTCGTCCATCCCATAACAAAATATTCATTTCTTTTTTTAGTAACTGTATTATCTACCTAATATTACAAATATCCTTAGAACTTACAATATATTACACAAATGTCATTACCTTTATATCATACGTACTAACAAGATTATTTTAATTATTTCTATTTTATTTCTATTATATCTTAATATAATATTAATATTTTTAAAATTAAATAAAAATAAACAAATAAATAATTTTTTTTCTGGGAGGGAGGGACTATTAAATCGAGCACAAATATTATATGGTGGCCTTGCAGGGTTATGTCTAATCGACTTAAAGGCTGATTAGTGTCTTATTTTGCTCTCTCTGTCACTGTCACTGTCACTGTCACTGTGACTGTCACTTTCACTGTCACTGCCACTTCGAATATTGAACAAATTCATTTGCTGCTGACTATATATATATATATATTCTATACATACTACTTGTCTCTCTCTCTCTCTCTCTCACTATGTTCTATTTGGTCGTTGATAGAATGATTGGGTGCGATTTTTTTGGAGAAAGTTTGAAAGATTTAAATTAATTTATGTTTGTATTAGATTTAAATTTTAAGATAGTTTTAAGAAAATTTCGACTTTGTTTACTTATTATTATTATTTTTTTTAATATTTCATCCGCCTTAATTAAATTGTTTCATTTAGTTTTAAATTGTAAATTTTAAAATATAAGACGGACGAAAATAAAAAGAGTGGACAAATTAAGTGAGACGGAGAAACTATTAATTTTAATATATATATCTTTTATTTTTCTTCATAATAATCAATATTCAACATAAAATATTACTCTCCCGTCTCACTTAGCGTGTCCGAGTTATCGTAAATATATGAATTTAGGATAAATATAATTAGTAAATAATTAAAAATATATTAGAGAAAATAATTCTCTTATAATATAAATAAATATATTAAAATTAAAATAATTAATTAGTCTAATTAAAATAAAAAAAATTATAAATTAAAAAAATTAAAATGAAATTAAATTATCTAATTATTTTTCAAAAAGAATAAATAAATGACATAAGATGTGGAAGAACAAAAACGGAAATATAAACACAGTAGATGAGACATATAAAGTATTTTTTTATAATATCAATACAATTTTCTATATCTCACGTCAAGAAACTAACAAATCATATATTTCTTTAAATTAATAGATTTGTTTGAATTTTAAGAGTTACGATCCAAATTAATTTAATAGATAATAAAAATAGTGACATAAACGTGAAATGTATTAAATAAAGTAATTTTTTTAATTTTAAATTAAAAGTATAAAATAAAAAGTGGTGTGAATTGTATAAAAGATTTTAATTGAAAAATATATATGAAGTAAAAAATGAGGGGTGTGTTTGTTTGGGGATTTGAATTTTGAGTTGAGATTTGAATAATAAAAATTTTGAATTTGAATAGTTGTAAGATGTGATATAAATAGGTGTTGATGTGATGTTTTGAATGTAAAATTAATTTTTAGTATAATATAAAAAATGAAAAATAGGTATTTAATTTGATGTTGAGATGAATAGTAAAAGTCCACCAAAATCCTTCAAACAAACACACCCGAGATGTATTGTGTAGTCATTATTATTATTTTTTTTCCCCTTCATTAATACTGTAATGTTAAGTTGGTTAACAATTTCAGAATAATGTACTATAAAATTTAAATTATTTTTACTTTTTAGTATAAAAATAATAATTTAAAGGTAAAATATAAATATTTGTGCCAAAAATTTGGATATTTGTGAAATAGTTAATTTGTAATTAGACAATTAAAAGTAAAAATATATATATTTTATAAGTAGACGAAGAGAGTAAAAAACAAATATTTTATATTGATAATACATGTCAATCAATAATAAATGATTCTTTAAATGATCGTCTCAACTAAAAAGCTTAATCTTATAGGGATATACATAATTTATTTATTTATATTTTTATAAAAATCAAACAACATGCCCCTCACATACAAAGAGGATACAAATTGTACACGTGAATAACGATGAATGAGGACGGTCGATTTTTAAAACTTTTAGATGAAACGATTATTTAATATCCTCTAACATATGCATAACGTACCGATTCAAAGCCGTTAAGAAAGTGCAAAATAGTTTGATGAATGAATGTATTGCAATAGAAAATACGACAAGTTTAGAAGACGAAAAATAACATTGATCCAAATATTAAATCTAGTACTCTTCCGTTTCAAATAAGGTGCAATATTTATTTTTGGCACGGATTTTTAGGTAGGTAGTATTAAGTAGGATAATTTAGAAATGAGGTGATGTGATGGAGAGAGAAATGTATATTTTATTTTTTTATTTGGGTGATGTGATGATATAAATTGTGAGGTTGAGATTAAGTATAATTAATTATTTCATATTTTGAAAATATTGCAGGGTATTTAGGATATACTAAAAATAAAATATTACAAGGTGTTTGAGACAGAGGGAGTAGCAGTTAACATTTGTTCTACTGCATTGCATTACCGGTTGCATGAAGATAATACATGGCTTCGTCTAATAACTATTTTGAGAGTTTTAAACTTTTAAAAATAAATAAAAGGATCATATTTAATATAATATTTTATTAGAAAAATATATATTTGATATTATTTTTAAACTATTTAAGCAAAATAGAAAAAAAAAAAATATTTAAACTAAAATTAATTTATTACAATTAAGTTACTATTGAGAGTACACTCTTGGGTGAGTATAGCCGGCAAAAATAATTTTCTGACCGCATCTACCCGACATGGTTGAACACGATTAATCAAATAAAATTCTACTTTAAATATTTTTAAAATATATTATAAACATATAATAAAATAAAAAATTAATTATATATTTAAATTCTTAATTATCAATAAAAATATCATTTTTCTAATCATTGTATTTTTTAAAATTACTAGTAAAATTTATTTTTAACAAATATTATGCAAAATAATTATTTCAAATTTTGAGTTGGCCTGGCCCGGCACAAATTGAATCGGGCCGTGCTGCATCTAGATTTCTAGGCCCAATTCAAAATTAGACCGGGCCTCTCCTGGCAGCAGCATGAAAAAATTCAGTCGGCCCAAACTTTTTACATTTAAATGAGAGAACACAATTCTCCTTGACTTATAATAATTTTTGGTAATTAAATCGAAAAAAAAAATATGCTCTCCGTCCCAAGTATTGTTTACAATTTTTTTCTATTTCAAAACAATAGTCTTATTTTCATAAATAACCAAGTCACTGTCAAACTACCCTTGTTTTTTTATTTTCATTACCCTATTTTCTACCCTAATACACTCACTAAGTAAAAAAATCTTTTATTCATATTTTTTACCAACTATCAATATAATATCAATAAATCTCGTGTCTAACCCAATTAAGATTATAATTTTAGGACGGAGGGAGTTATATAGAATATAAATATGACAGAAAAGATCACAGAGATTGAGATGAGACGAGCCTGATGTGGGAACAAGGGAATTAATTCATCTTGATTTAGTTCATTATTTATACAAAACAGAAAAAAAATTAAAAATAAATAAAAAAAAGAATTTGATAGGTAATGATTGGTTGATTATGAATTTATAATTTAATAATTAATAATTTAAATTAAATAGAAAGAGAAAAAAATAATAATGTGAATTTCTTTTCCTATAAATTTAATAAATAGTTCAATTAAAATAAAAAATATTAATGTATTAAATAATAATATAAGTTAAAGTAAGTATAATTATAGAATAAAAAAATTCAAAAGTTAAAATATATAGTACTATTATATTATAATACTCCATCCGTCCCATATATCATGGCCATGTTGTCGTTTCTATCCGTCCCACATTTCATGTCACTTTTGTTTTTTGTAAAATAATTACACACTATAATTTCATTTTAAACTTTTTAATTTATTATTTTTAAAATTTTAATTAAACTAATTAATTATCTTAATTTTAATTTATAATTATTTATATTATAAAATAATTATTTTCACTAATAAAATACCGTGTCTACAATGTAGCAGACACAGTATATGAGACAGAAGGACTACTATTTTGATATGGAGTATTATATACAAGAATGGTTGTACCAACTTCTGAATTAAAAGTCCAATAAGAGATGGCAAATCTTGTGGGGTAAAGTGTAAAGTGAATTCGTAAAATTATATTTTAAATACAACACCTCGAAGTATATCGTGTCACACATGGTTTCCTAGTAGTATGACTTATCTTATCTTGCCGGCCTAATTTACGAGCAAATGGACTAAGTAACTAGTCAGTTGCGAAAATTCGAAATGTCTAGACACAACCCGAAAATCGGATTCAAGAGCTAGACCTATGACCTAGAAAGGTAAGAAAATTGCCAGAAGTCCCACAACAAATAATTTATAGACTGCTGCATCCAGTACTACAACACACCACCACTACAGTTAAATGTTTCGCGCTGTTTCTCGGATTCAAGAAATTACCACACTAGATGACAGATAAACTATGACTACAGGAATATAAGGTAAAAATATCGCGGTAATAATTAGGAATAGGATACATACACATCATTATTTGGTCAATTTTTACCTGCGCCAATCCATGTTTTTGTTGGAGTTAATTTCAACAAGGCTTGATCTCGAATCCAATGCTCAAAAGGGTTCTTGCTGATTCCGATGATTTTTCTCCACCCAATTTCAATGTTTCGCCGGTCAATTCACCTTCTTGAGGTTCGGTCTTGCTTTGAATATCTTCTTCAGTAATGGTAGGAGTGTTCTTTGGGCCATAACGCTTTCTCGGCACAGGCACGTCGTGATTGTGAGCTCCCTTGTAAGTGATTACTACAGCACTGTCATTATCCACATCCCTCTCTATCTGTTTTCGGACAGGACATCCAGCCGAGGTACATCTATAGTAGTTCCTGAAAATATACCACAATTTCTGCTTTAAACTAAAGAATTGGGTTTCCCGCATACTGGCTAGTAATAAAAAGGTGGTAATGTTGTGTGGGCATGAACAAGTTCGACTCAAAAGCCGTTGGTTCCTTCAGTGTTAAGTTATGATCTAGCCCTATTTGACTTATTCCAATTTTATCCGAGCTTAACTCTCCTATATCATGGCGTCCGTATTTATAAAATCTTGGTTGTATCTACGTTGAAATGAGATCCACACAAATTTTTCTTAGAGAACCTACCGAAATCAAAGGCTTGACACAACACAGCAGCTTGCCCAGGGTTCGTTGCTGGTACAAGAAAAAAATTTTAGAAAAGAAAATCAAAATGTTTATAAAGTCATTTTTTGAGAAGTGTATTTGGATATGCAAGAAAACTATATGAAACACTGAATTACATAATTCCAATTGCAGACTTTCCAAATAGACTAAAACCGTGCAATTTCTCAACTTACAGTCCAGTTCAAGAGGCTGTGGAATTATGAAATAATTATACCTAGAAATGTTTCAATAATATAAAATAAAAAAAATCACATTAACAAGAGGCTGTGGAATTATGAAAATAGTAATAAGCAATTGAGGGGATGCTTGCTTTGATTTATTATTTAATAATTACGTAATAATTATAAGCGTAAAAACAAAAAACAAAAAACCAAAAAAAGACTGTAAAATTCATATATCATGTGCCGTAGCATTACCCTTTTGAGTGAAGAAAAATATTGATAAGAATTATTTTTAAAATGAATCTCCAATATATTTAAAATATGCATCTTGGCATCAAGTCTGATAGAAAAATATCAACATAATAGGCATATGCATCTTATTTATTTTAATGTTCCAGATAATGCACCCGAGGACATTTGGAAGTACAGCATCATATGTATCCAACACAGTGCAGATCAGTATTTGCAAATAAACTCATTAAACCATGAACAGTTCATTCAAAATATGTATACTTTGGGGGATCGGCAGCATGTTGTTTGGGCAGAGGTATTCAACACCATGAAGTCAGAATATTCCTGATTCGCATATAAGTTGCAATTAAGCAAATGAAATTTTAGATTTTCGATTCATAAAATTATCATCAGTGAATAGATTCGTCAAAACAAGGGCAACATAAACTAGCGAGACAAATATCAGATAGACTCTTCACAAGTGTTGTTTTCAAAATTTAATGATAAAAGGCCATATAATAAACTACTACATGTGTAAGAGGATGAAGTAAGAAACAGGGAGGTGCAAAGGTTGATTATTAATTCATCTCATCACGTGTGCGAACATAATCTCTAATTTTTGGTGACTAAAACATAAATTACTACAGAAGAGGAAATGGGAAACCTTTGGATAGATCACATAAGACCCAAATAATAAGATCTCTATAAAGGACAACTGTAGAACCAGTGGCACAGAACAGGATTTCTGAGGATACTAAAACATAGTGAAGCTAATGACTACAGTAAATTAAGTCAAAATTGAGGTGAGCCAGCAATTATTCGAGACATACCTTGGATGAGGATTTCCCTTCACCATTTTCTGCCCATACTTGCGCCATCGGTAGCCATCACCTGATATGCCCACATCACCAGCCGCATGAACAACATATTTAGGTTTCTTGCCAGTTTTAGGAGTGGAATCAGATTCATCAATAGCGATTCTCTTCTGCCTAGAAATGTTGTGCATAAAAGGGCGTCACTTTTTCGTGTCATAACCAACTATAATATACAAGTATACAGGATATAAAAATATGGTAGTAAATGTACCTAAGGACTTCCCTTCTCTTATATTCAGGTCCCTCAACATACTCCTCCTTAACATTAATTTCCATGGTTTCATCAGACCCACATGAATCCTGCTGTTTCGGTTCGGGAATCTGATCACTAACCACTAAAGATTCTTTAGGAGATGTAGATGGGATTGAATCACTAAGGCCTCTTCTTGTATGAGTTGTTTCATGACTCCCATTAACCGGAAAAACTGCTCTAGGAGATCTATTTTCCCTAGTGCAATTCACTTTCTGAGGAGGGTCATGATTATGCTGACTTCTATAAATAGTCTCTACAACACGACTAGAACAGTCACAACATTCAATCTTCTTAGCATGGCAATTAGAAAAGGTGCATCTGTAGTAACTTCTAGAACCTTCTGGGCTTTTCACTTGCTTTTGACCATACTTTCTCCAGTTGTAGCCGTCAAATGTCTTCAGCATAGTCACACCAGTCGAAGGTTTAGAATCTGGAGAATTCTGCTTACCCTGAACTGTCAGGTGACTATTTCCACTATCTAATGGATGCAGCTCTTTTTTAGATGTAGATGGAGATGGAGTTGGAATGGGGGAAACAGACTGTTTAGTAGACTTTGGCAACACTGCCAGCTTAGGCGGACGTTCAGGTATCTGTACCTGTTTCTGTGTATGAAGATTAGTGGCTTGGTTATCGATACCTTTCACTGCTTCGTTGTTTACCTCTATTGCTGCATCCTGGATAATAATAAGGATACAAAGGAACCAGAGTCACGTAACTAATTCAGACAGTACTCAGCTTTAGTTTCACAATAGCAAATTAGAAATCTCCGAGAAACATCTAATATGAAAATTATATAATTCGGATTGAAACCAATGCAGCATACAACAAAATCTATAATTCTATGCTTTCTTGTCTCTTTTATAGTTGCTTAGGTTCATGCATGAAAGAAGCACAAACTGAGTAGTGTGAACTTCAAACACACTGGGGGAAACATTCATGCCAACTTATCATCAAAACCTTTGATAAACCATCACTCTGCACATAGTTATTTCAACCATCCATACTTGTAAATAAACATACTCAGGATTCTACAGCTTTGCTAAAGCTTTTTAAGGCAGATCATTTTTATCTAAGAATTCAAATACTCAATTAACTACACTTGCAAAATCAACATATCCTAAAACTAAACTTCAGAAAACCAAGTAGTTATCTTCAACTTTCAGCTAAACTTAATATAGCATCATAAATGCAGTAGCAGTAACCAAAAAAGTAAAATCAGGATGCATTTTACTAAAAAATAAATTAGTTACCCTAAGCAAAGTAGGAGCATTAAAAGATGTTTTAACCTTCAATTCTCCAACAGACTGCAGTGGTTGCAGAGAGTATTCCACCGGAACTTCTGCACCATCCAAAACACATCAAAACCATCGCCACAGTCACAAAACAACGCAATTCTCACGTACACATGCGCACACACAAATACAATCACGCACAACTAGTTAATTAACCGATCATACAAAATCAAGCGAATATTCCACCACTCGACCTAAAAACACAAAGAAAAAGCAAAAGCAAAGAACCAAAGCACGCAGAATAAAAAAATTAATAACAAAATAAAAAATAAAAATAAATGGAATCTCAAACTACCGGAGAGATTTTCCGATGATTCCTTATACGACTGCAAACCACTCTCCGAAATCCGTACGGCGCCTAGGGTTTCAGATTGAGGAAGCAGCAATTCCCCTCTTTCCCCACTGGAAGTCTTCTCTGCTGCACAGTCACTACTATTCCCCTCACTCCCCAGCCTCTGCGCCTCGTTTTCACCCAATTCAGCACCGCCTCCGCCCTCCTCCACCGCCGGCTTCGAATCCCCTTCCTCCATGCCTCCCAGCGAGCTCCGATTGCTCTCTTCCGCCACCGCAAATTTCTCGCCGCTGACAAAAAAGGACAGCTTTGAGCTTTCCCTTCTTTCCTTTAACATCTGCTGATAGTAATTTCTCAGACTATATTCGATGAGGCGAATCTACTGTGGGAATACGGCGTTAGGGGAAAGTACTATAATACCCCTCCAAGATTGTGCTGTGAGGGGTTGTCGTAGCCGCGTGTTTGGAGGCTATTTTCGTAGTTTTGCTTCTGTGAGTGGGATTGGAGCTAGTGGTCTCGGAGTGTCAATAGTAAAATTCAACATATATTAATTTTGCTGAACCGGACATTCTGGCGTTGCTGTTGACTGAATTTGACCCTTGACTCGGCCTTGAGATGAATTTCCAAAACTACCCTTCTGATATTAATCTTGGTTGATTTTAATTTTTATGTGTTTCTTTTTCTAAATTTCTCTAATATTTCAATTCTGAAGTTTTAGAAAAAAAATTATTTTTACAAAATAATCAATAAAATATTATTATAAAATCAAATTTAAAATAAATTTTCCCAAAAATCCACCTGAAATAAATTCATTCACGTGTTTCTGCTCAAACTATTTATGTTTTTGTTTTTAAGTTAAATTTTGTGCTTATTTTAAAATTTTATTATTTTATTTGATAAATATTAATTAATTTTTTGTTTTTTTATTTTTTTTTATTATTCTTATTAATTTTTTAAATAAAATTTTTACAATATTATCATTTGAAATTTTATTTATTTATTTTAATATAAAATTTTATTAGTTTTGTCTTTATATCTAAACAAACTTACCTAAAATTTTCAAACAAAAAAATAGGGTCGGTTTGTTTGGAGGCTTGGATGTTGAGTTAAAATTTGAATAGTAAAAATTTTGAATTGTAATAGTTGTTGTGATATAAATATGTATTGATATGATATTTTGAATATAAAATTAATTTTTAGTATAATATAAAAAATAAAAAATATGTGTTAATTTGATATTTTTCGATAGAAAAAATTAAATGAATAGAAGAAAAAATTAGATAAATAGTAGAAATTTTGGGAAATCCTTCAGCAGAACACAACCTAATAGAAATCAATCATTAGTTGACTCAAACTTTACCTAAAATTTTGTTATATAAAAAAAAAAAACTTTACCTAAAATTTAGGGTATGTTTTTTTGATGTAGTTTAGAAAATTTTGGTTTAGGTTTGATATTAAAATAATATATGATAAAAATATTTTGTTCGAAGAAAAATGAGTCCAAATAGTAAAAATATGGGTTTAGGGTTAAAAAAAAAACAAACAAATATAGTTTAATTAGTAGATTAGTGAATTTAATTTTTCTTAAATTTTTTTCTACGTTTTTATAAAATTACAATCCGTGAAGATATTTATATCTTCCCTTTTGGTAAAACTGTTGTTAAACTAAATGATTTACGTATTTACAATTAAATTTCCTTTTTTAAGAAAATGGTTTTTATTATATATTTATTAAATTACTATGAATATATATACATTTAAATGACTTATGTGTGTTTGTTTGAGGGATTGAATTTTAAATTCATTATTCATCCTTTTTTTTTTTTTCAAAAATATCAAATTAAACACTTATTTTTTATTTTTTATATTATACTAAAAATCAAATTTACATTCAAAATATCACGTCAACACTTATTTATATCACATCATACAACTATATAAATTCAAAATTTTTACCATTCAAATCTCAACTCAAAATCCAACCCCCAAACAAACACAACCTTAAAATAAGATTGTATAAATGAGTTTTTGGTTAAATATTAGTGTTGAGCACAAAAAATAATAATAATAATAATAATAAATAATGGCAGTAGAATTCTGAGTCTGGATATAAGCCAAACGGCCCAGAAGTCGGGAAAAAAGAAGTCGGACAGACGGTCTGTCAAGGGGAGTCCATCTAAGGAGATAAGGCAAATAGAGCCGGTTGGTTGCTCTGTGATCGAGACCACAGTCGGTTGCTCTGTGGTCGGGATCACAGTTGGTTGGTCTACAGTCAGGACCGAGGTCGGTTGGTCCGTGGTCGGGACCACAGTCGGTTGCTCTGTGGTCGGGACTACAGTTGGTTGGTCTGCAGTCGGGACCACAGTCGGTTGCTCTGTGGTCGGGACCACAGTCGGTTGTTGCGGAGTTCGAACCAAGTGAGGTCGGGTGAAGAAGAATGAGACGGATGATACGTGGTCGTACAAGAGACCAGATGGTGGTCGCTTGACGGGGCGGCCAATAAATCGTTTGGTCTAGCGACCAGTTAATCTCTGGATTGGTCGGGTGGCACAGAGGTCGGGCGAAACGAAGTCGAGCAAGAAGGGACATGGCAGTGGATGTGCAGGTCGGACGAAAGGCACTTCTGGGACGGTTCAAGTCGTGAGAGGCAGTTCTGGGGCGGTTGGAGGAAGTTGCAACCGGCGAAAGGTTGAAGGAAGTTGCAACACGTCTCAACAGATGAGAACTTGGTGGACGGTTGACAGCAGTTGCTGTAACCGACCAAATGGTGGTTCAAACCGCTTCTTTAAGGGGTTATTTAAAGGTCTGTTTTTGACCTAAAAAAGCATCTTCAATCGACATCAAATTCAAGAGAATTGCTTTTGGGGATCACCACTTTATTTTTCAGTCTTTTATTTTATTTTTTCTATTTTATTTTATGTATTCTACAGTGTTTAGAAATTTCCAATCTTAGGCACTCATCTATCAAATTCGAAGATATTTCTCTATTTTCGAATTTTACTTTTTATTATTGAAAAATTGCATCAACAATTAGTTTAATAAGTTATTTTATAATAAAGAATAATATATTTATAATGAGAATTATACCAGTTGAATATTAAAAATTTTGGTTTGGAAAATTCTAATAAATTTGAATTTTGATTTAAATAGTTATATTATTATAGAGTGTGTTTATTTTGGTTGTCTTTCTTTAATATATTCTTTTTAAATTTTATTTTTTTCCAAAAAAATCTCTAATAAAATATTCCCCTAAATATTATTCAAATACAAAACTTAAACTAAATCTTTTCAAACCAATCTCAAATAAACAAACTCAAGTGTTTTTAGATGTATATGTTGTATTAGATAATACATATTGTTGGATTGCAAACCTCAGTCTTACATTAAAATATTTGAAGAAAAATATACTCTCTCAGTCCCACATATCGTGTCTGCTACACTGTAGATACGGTATTTTAGGAGGGATGTAATTAGTAGATAATTAATAATGTATTAGTGAAAATAATTATCTTATAATCTAAATAATTATAAATTAAAATTAAGATAACTAATTAGTTTAATTAAAATTAAAAAATAAATAAATTAAAAATTTTAAAATGAGATTAAGGTGTGTAATCATTTTTAAAAAAAAAAAGTGACATGGAATGTGGGACGAACAGAAACGGCAACGTGGATATGGTATATGGGACGGAAAGAGTACATTTTATAAGTTTCATATTAATTTTATTAGTACAATAATTTTTTGGAGAAAGTCGTGGAACACATGTTTGTACTTTCTTTTTTTTTGTAGAATATTAAAAAATAATATTTCATCGGTATACTAGCAAATTTTTTATTTGAATTTTGCAGAAAAATTAAAATAAATTAATATTTTATAGATATGTAGTGATATAAATATAATGTCTACTTTACCATTAAAAAATAATGTGAAAAATAAAAAGTCAAAATATTTTAATATTTAGTTACAAATTACTTTTTTTTCCAAAAACAGAAATGATAAGTTTTGATTAGGATATATAACAAATGAAAAGTTTAATAGTGGACGGATGGAACAATATTTTATTAATAAGTGGAAGTGTGTAAAATAATTTTGATATTTTTACCTTTATAAGTAAAAAATAAATGAATATTTTGTAAAAAAAAAAAAGAGTATTTTAGTATTTTTTTTAGATTACCTATTAAAAAATGCGTAAAATATATACATTGAATTGAAACAAAAAGAAGTAAACATGATAGTGAAGATGACCTAAAACATTATCATATTTAAAATAAGGTTGAGTATATCATATAACATGATCATGTTAATAACAGAATTGTAAACATGGACAACAACATGACTATTTTTACAATACTAACAAAAATACAACCTATGTTTAGAATATGCCCGTGAATAGGGGCATAAACACGGTCATGCTTAGTACAGGGAATGAATACGACCGTATTGGTTGTCTATGAAACTTAATCATTTTTTTCGAATTATTCAACCCGGCCGTGTAAATTCTCTATTAGCAAAATCGATAATTGTGATATATATGGAACCAAAATAATTTTTTTTTTTCAAAACAAAATAAAAGTTTAATGTGTTTATTTTGTGTTTTGATATTTTTTTTATGTTAGGTACGAAAAATTGTGTAGATAATATAATGAAAATAAAGTAGAGTGTGTAATATATTATTTTTTTTGAAAAATGTGTTGAAAATTTTTTGTAGGTATTGAATGTGTGTTTGTTTTGTGAAATGGTTAAAAAAGGATTTATTTATTTATTTATTTATTTATTTTTATGTGGGGTATAAAAAATTGGGTAGAGAATACAAAAATAATGAATATGCTTTTTTTGAAAAAAATAAGCGCGAGAAAAATAGAGAAAAAACACACCCGATGTAATGTAAAAAAAGAGTAACGTGTTGAATGCATTTATATGAAAAAAAAAGTACTATTTCCATTCAGCTAAAAATATATATATATATATTTATTTTTGACGCAAAATTTAAAAAATGATAATACTAATTGTAATGAATAATTAAAAGTATATAAAAATAATAATGTATAATAAAATAGAAATATTTATAAAAAAAATATATTTTTTAAATAGTTATTTTGTAATTGAACAATTTAAAATAAAAATATATATTACCTCCGTCCTGCTCTAAAGATTTCATTTACTTTTTGCATATTAATATTTGAATTAATTATTATATGTACAAATTAAGAAAAATTACAAGAACACTTATATTAGTGTATTGTAATACTAATAGAATGAAATTTGTATAATAAATTATACAAATATAAAAATATTTTTAATATTAAGTAAAATGATGCAAAACGTAAATGTGACCT